AATGAACTAAGACAAAAAACAACCTAAAAAAAATTACAACCTGTATCTTTTTTTCTGTTTCTTTCTTCTTTTCCATCTTCTTTTACCTTCCTCTTTATGGACAGTTTTATTACTCATACATGTACATGTATAAGTGTATATACATTTACTTTTATGCTCTTGTTTTAGAGTTTGATAAATATGGTATCATACATTAGGTAGTCTTCCTCTCCCCACTCAATATTGTGTTTCTAAGATAAATCCCCATAGCTGGAGTTTATTCATTTTCCCCTGCTATATAGTATTTCCTTGTGTGAATATGCCAAAATCTACCCACTTTGTTGTTGAATGGCCTTTGGATTATTTCTTTAATGAAAATGAGCCTATGACAATTTTTGCACGTTTCACCTGCTGCATTTTTACATGAGATTTCCAGGGTACATACCTAGGAGTGGAATTGCTGGGTCACCAGGCTATGCACATCTTTAACTTTACAAAGTTATGACAAATTGCTTTCTTTGTTTGTTTTTTTTGGGAGGAAGTCTTACTCTGTTGCCCAGGCTGGAGTGCAGTGGCACGATCTTGGCTCACTGCAACCTCTGCATTCCGGGTTCAAGCAATTCTTCCACCTCAGGCTCTGGAGTAGCTGGGATTACAGGCACCCACCATCATGCTTGGCTAATTTTTTTGTATTTTTAGTAGAGATGGGGTTTCACCATGTTGGCCAGGCTGGTCTTGAACTCCTGACCTTGAGTGATCCACCCACCTTAACCTCCCAAAGTGCTGGGATTACAGGTTTGAGCCATGAGCCACCAAGCCTGGCCCAAGACAAATTGTTTTCTAAAGTAGTTTTTCATGTATTCCCTTTGTTTTTTTTTTTGTTTTTTTGTTTGTTGTTGTTGTTTTTTCTTTGAGATAGTGTCTGGCTCTGTCGCCCAGGTTGGAGTGCAGTGGCATGATCTCGGCTCTCTGCAACCTCCACTTCCCAGGGTTCAAGTGATTCTTCTGCCTCAGCCTCCCCAGTAACTGGGATTACAGGCATGCGCCACCATGCCCACCTTATTTTTGCATTTTTATTAGAGACAGGGTTTGCCCATGTTGGCCAGGCTGTTCTCGGACTCCTGACTTCAGGGTGATTCGCCCACCTCGGCCTCCCAAAGTTGTGGGATTACATGTGTGAGCCACCATGCCCAGCTGGCTTCATGTATTCTTTACAAGGAATGTATCTGAGTTCCCACTGATCCACATTCTCTGCAACAACTGGTACCATGCAGATTGTAAAGGTATGCACTGACTTATTGATGGAGCTAGTATGCTCAAAACTAAAGTTTTTGTTTGTTTGTTGGTTTGCCAGCTTGCTTCCTTTTGGTTTCTGCTAAGGTTGGGTACATGAGGGAGTTTGGAAAGTAGGAGGAGGCATAAGGGACTTTCTTTTTTGTTTGTTTGGCATTCTTGTCAATGTAATTCCAAATATGGGATCTCACCTTAGCAGCAGCAGTTGGTTATAGCTGTGGTTTTCTAGTTTCCACCTTTGTTCTAACCTCAAGAGTCAGCATCATTTTTGTGCTCACTTGGAGGCATGAGAAGCAGCTGAGCAATATCCTCTCCTCAGAGGTGAGTTCCAGCTCCGTGTGAACCCTCCTCTGATGTTCTAAAGTATGGCCAGTAGCAGCCAATGGAACACCCTCCTCAGAATTCTGCATCTTGCTCCTTGGGTCCTTCCTCTGTACTCCTGAAAAACAGCAGCAGTAAGGCAAAAGTCTGGGTCCTAACTCTCTAATTTGTCTCTTTCAGCTTCGAAGTTATGATAACCCCTACCACCTTCTTTTGTTCCTCTAGTCTAAGAGGTAAGAGGTAGTAACTGCTTCCTGCAGTAACTTTGTGCTACCCTCCTTGTATTTCATTTTGTTTTTTCTGTACTTCAACACCATGTAACAAATTCCCCATATTAATTCTCTCTGTTAACATAACTTTATGTTTTTCATTTTTTTTGACTGATATTGTGACTTCTTAGTTTTTGCCAATCTACAGGTATGAAATGGTATCTCATTAAACCCTTTTTGTGCTTTTCTGATTACATTAAGAAGAGTTGAATATTTTTGTATATGTTTATTGACCATACTATTTCTTCTTCTGTAAAATGTCTTTTCATTTTATTTGCTCATTTTTCCATTTTTTTTTCTTACTGGTTTGTAGTTCTTTGAAGGTTCTGGATACCAATTGTTATAAGTTTTATGTGTTGAATGTATATCCTCTTAGTCTGTGGTTTATACTTTCACTTTATTGTATATTTTGATGAACAGTAGTTTTAAATTTTAATAAAATGTTCTTGATATTCTTTTATGAAGAACTCTTTGTGTCTTCATTATGAAATTCTTCTCCATCTAAGATAAGAAAGGCAGTCTTCTCATGGTATTTGAGGTTTCTTTCACATTTAGATTCTTATTCAGCTGGAATTTGTTTTTTTTTTTTTTGTGTATGATGAAATGTACAGTTCCAATTTCATTTCTTTTCCTGTATGTTTCCAACTGTCACCCCTTTCCTCTTTGATACACTATTCGATACACTTTCTCATATAGAAAGTTTCATGTGTCTGGCAGCCTATTTCTTGACTCTCCAATGTTATTGTGGTGAATTTGTTTATCCTTGCACCAATAATACACTATATCTTAATTATCATGACTTCATACAAAGTCTTGATATATGGTAAGGAAAGTTCTAGGAACTTCTTCTTCTGGAATATCTTGCCTGTCCTTGGATCTCTACATTCCATATGTGCCATTTCAAATTCTATGAAAAATCTTATTAGAATTGCATTAACTTTGTAGATCATTTGGTAGAATTGATATATTTTATGGTTTTTCTATCCATGGATATGAGATGTCTCTCCATTTATCTAGTTTTTAATGTATTTTATTGTTTTGTAATTTTTTCCCCCATAAAACACAATATTTGCTTTGAGATTAATTCCAGATATTGCACAATACTGTTGCAATTATAAATAGTTTTAAAAAAAATGTTGCCTATTAATGACCCCTTCATTTCTTGCCCCTCCTCTCACTTCTCCTGGTTGTCATGTGTTTATTCTTACATATGAAGTTCAGCATCATTCTGTCAACCAAAAAAAAAAAAAAAAAAAAAGTCAGGAAGGTTTTGATAGAAAGTAGGCTCTCTCTCGCTATGTGTGTGTGTGTGTGTGTGTGTATATTTAGATGGAATCTTGCTCTGTTGCACAGGCTGGAGTGCAGTGGCGCGATTGGCTCACTGCAACCTCTGCCTCCCAGGTTCAAGTGATTCTCCTACCTCAGCCTCCCAAGTAGCTGGAACTATAGGCAGCACCTCCACACCCAGCTAATTTTTGTATTTTTTGTAGAGATGGGGTTTCACCATGTTGGCCCACATGGTCTCGAACTCCTAACCTTGTGATCCGCCCATCTCAGCCTCTCAAAGTGCTGGGATTACAGGCCTGAGCCACGGCACCTGGCCGGGCTTAATATATTTTTGTGCATGGAAGTCACATTTTTATAATGGTGACAAAAATATGTGAAAATTGAAGTTTGAAGTTTTGAGTAGAGACCATGATATAGTAGATGAGCTACTCCTAGATTAAATCATCAAATGCAGATGTCAAAACTTATATCCAAGAACCAGTTCCATGACTGTTGCATGCCTCACCCATCTCAAGAGTATAAAATGTAGATGGAGGAAAGGTTTTTTTTTTTTTTTTTTTTTTTTTTTTTTTTTTTTTTTGAGAGGAGAGTGTTAATTATGGACAGAGATTTCCTTTGGAAGAGTGGTAGGCTATACTGAGGAGCACTCATCATAGTATTCCCAGATTGGAAACAACCTATATGTCCATCAACAGGAGAGTGGATAAATCGTGATGGATTCATACAATGGAATAGTATGTGGCAATAGAAAATATACACTTCTGATGCACATAACAACATGGATGACTTTATAGAATACTATTGAGTAAAAATAGCTAGATGCCAAAGAGAACATACTACCTGTAATCTATTTGTAATCTATTTGCCCTGAGATTATCCAGGGCAGCAGTTCTTAAATGTTTTGGACTCAGGGCCTCTCTATAATGTTAAAGAATTACTGTGACCTCCAAAGAGCTTATGTTTATGTGGGTTACACCTATGACTACTGCATTGAAATGAAAACTGAGAAATGTTTTAAAACAACAAACACAAGCTCCCTTAGCTGCCAGAGATGACGTCGTACACAAAGCATATCCTCCAGGAAACGGTATACTTGTCTGTATTATGAAAATTGTTTTGAGGTCATCGGGATTTCCGGGGGTCCCTAGACTATACTTTATGAGAACTGCTGCCGTAGGGTAAAGATGGGGTGCCGGGAGGTTGGCGCTCAGTAGCGTTTGATGAACGAACCATGGGAGCCTGGGGTTGTGCAGATGAGGAAACCGAGAGTTAAAGGAGCCGAAATAAGCAGCGCCAGAGCTCCACCGTACTCACGGCCGCTACTGCGGCATCCCGGCAGCCTCGGCCCTTAGCAGCTGTCCCCTCATCCGCCCCGAGGCACCTTCTTCCCTGGTCAGGTTTTTCAGGGGCCACCTCTGGCGCGCACCGCCAGGCTACCGGCGTCCCTGGTGCCCGGATACAGGCCCCGCCCCGCCGCCTGTCCTCGAACTCCTGGCTGCCAGGCAACCCTGGCGCATAGCCCGGGCGTCACTGCTCCACCCCGTCAGGCTGAACCATTCTCTTCAGAGACTTTCTCAAGAGGGAAGGAGAAAAGGGAATTTGATGGAACGCCTGAAAGCTGTTCTGCTGCCGTTTTCTCTCCTTAATTTGAACGAACACTTCTTTTCTTCTTCTAGCCAACTACCTCCTGAAGGGCAGCGCAGCAATTCGCCTCTCCCGCCAGCATGTACCCCCAACCAGTCCAGGGCCGCGAGTGGTTCGGCTCGTCAGGGAGGCCGGCGGTCGGCGCGGGTTGGCTCTGAAGCGGGGGCGCGCGCCAGACGTGCGCGTAGGGGGCGGGGCCGCGCGCAGAGGGCGGGGAGGTGGGCAAGATGGCGCCTGCCGAGTGATTCTCCTCGGATCCCTCTTGCTGGCGCGGAGACACCGGGGCGGGGGTCCTGCCGCCGCTACCTCCCTTCCTCCTCTCCCCCGCCCCCGGAGCCTTCCTCCTTCCCTTCCCCCCTCCACCTCGGGGGGCGGGCCTGGTTCCCGGGACACCATGTCGGACTCTGAGGAGGAGAGCCAGGACCGGCAACTGAAAATCGTCGTGCTGGGGGACGGCGCCTCCGGGAAGGTCAGTCCTCGAGCAGGCCCGCCGTCCCTGGCCTGCAGGAACCCCGGCGCTCCCCGGCCTCCTCCCCGCCGCCCGGCGTCGCCTAGTTACCCCGAGCTCTCGGGCTTCTAGGCCCGGGCCCGTCTGGTTGTGTGGCCTGAGGCCAGACACGAAATGGGCGCTTGGTGAAGGCCGACGCTGTCCAGCTCCCCCTTAAAAAAAAGTCACTTCCTAACGCGCCGTCTGGATTGCGAACTCCTGCAAGACTCGGGCCAGCCTTTCAGCTTCCCGCCTCTCAGGACTGGCAAGGATTTGCCAAGGCATCTTAGCTCCTCTTACTTGTAGTCCGGGTCACACTTGCTCCTCCCCTCCCACCCCCTTTACCGTTTCTGATGCTTCCACTGCACCGTGAGCCCCCAGGAGCGTGACTCTGGGATCAGTATTTCCCGGGTGAGAATAGGGGGCTCCGCCACTTAGTCGTCGAGTCATTGGAGGGCAAATTGCTAATCAGTTTGAGCTTCATCTGTAAGATGGGTATTGAAAAGGGCCGCCGCAAAGGGAGAAATGTGAAAATACGTATTAAATGTGAAAATACACATAAAACCTTTAGAGCACAGTGTCCACTCTATACACGTTAGTTGCTATTTTAGTATCATACCTGTTCATCACCTCTGTTTCCAGCTCAGCACTCGGTACAAGCAGTCAGTCAACAAGTGTTTATGGAGCTCCTGTTATGGGCAGGATGCTGAGGCTAGAGCTGCTTGCGTGACAGAAGGGATCCCTGGTCGAATGAATGAGTGCGGGCTTGAGAGTATCAGGCAGCGTCAGTCTTATTATCTCCTAGGCAGCGGCTCCTACCCCAAGGTTGTGAAACTCCTGAAATGGACTGAAAACTGCCCGGTGCTTGCTCTGGGGAGACGGTCCATAAGATCTCAGAGAGGTCTATGATCCCTCCACCAACAAAGTGAAGAGCCTCTACCCGGATGCCTTCTTACCCATGCTTCTGTCAAAGGCGCCAACACTTTCTGGGATTATTGCTAAAGTTTATCTCCCCTCTACTCCCCTCCCTTATCCCAACCATAGTCTAAAGAAACCCAGGCTCTTATTTCCTGTTTAAGGCTTCACATTTCCCTGTTGCTGGTCGCAGTTTGGACCTTGGTTTCTCTGGTGATGACTTCTCTTTGCATCCTCCCTGGCATAGCTGCTTCTGCCTTTGGTTCTGACATTTGAGTTTCGAGGTCCCCTGGGAAAGATGTAAAATTTCATATGCAAAATTTGGAGTATTTTGTTGTTTTTTTTTTTCTTCTTGGATCCTTTGTTACAGATTTTTAAAGCTGAGGAAAACAATATGCTATGATTACATTTAAACTTTGGGGGAAGAAAGGAACTTGGGGTAACTTTTCTTTATAAAGTATATTAATTTTTGTATACTTAGTAAACTTTTCGAATGAATGAATTGCTATAAATCATCATTGTTTCTAACACCTTTATTCAATAAAAAGTTTGTTAGATTTTTATAGTTTTCTCATCATTTAGATTTTCTTTTGAAGGCCGTCTACGGTTTTGGCTCTTAAATTTTACTGTATTCAATTCATAACTGTTCTTATTTCCCTTTTAAAATGATAATGACAACGCATAACATAATACATTTGTAAAAAGACACAAAAATTGCTGGTTATCCTATATGCTATCATAATTCTTTAAACTTTTGTTCATTTTTCTAACAGTATTTATTGTACATATATTAGTGAAATTTGTTCATAATTTTGGGTCTGAGTTTTTTTTTTTTAACCTATCATACACGTTTTCCCTTTGTTGCTAATTTAGTGTGAATAATTACAGTTTTTTATTTCTGTTTAAAATTTTTCCTGGTGTAGGACAGCATAATTTTTTTCACTTCCATGTTTTACAGTTAGTATTATCATTCTGCTTCAAAGGATAACAGTAATATTTTTTATGGTGCTCTGACTTAATCTTCATCATCTTGCCTAAATAACTTATTTTAAAACTGTAACAGTTTTTTCTAATAGGAACTTCCAGACGCAGACATCTGACACCTAACCTTCTTTCATTATTCTTAAATCAAGAATTTTTTTCTCCATACCCTATTAAGTTCTCAAATACTTGGCAGCCACTAACATTCCCATTCTTTTTCCTTTATTGTTCTTTTCTTTGTGAACTCAGCCTCTCTTTCATTCTTATTTGTATCCTGATTTAACTCTTGGCTCTTTTTTCCTAGCATTTGTTTTTCCTGCTCAATCTAACTCTGAGCATTTTTCAACACACTGACAGATGCAGTAGAGTATTGAGATGATGACTTAACAGTTTCTCCAAGAGAAATTTAGCCCCTCCCTCCAGTATCACGTGTTTCTATTTCTTTCCTTTTCTGATTCATATTTTTTCTTTTATTACATAATCTCTTAAGAGCTTTTTGAGGCAAAATATTCATTTTTTCTGTCTTTTCAGTGTTTGTAAATGTAGTGTGGTTAAAAAATGTTAGTAGAAATTTACCAAATCAAAAATGTTAGTAGAAATTTTCCAAATTAAAAAAATATAAAGATTCAGATAAAAATATTTCTGATATGGAAGCTAGTTGTTCACTTAATACCTGTAATTAAGAAGGATATTTATAGAATGACTTGAGAAATTATTGAATGTGTAAGATTGCATGCAGTCTAGATAATTGAAAAGAAAGTGACCAACACTGATTCAGTTGATTCTCTGTTCCATTTTTATCTCAAGATATTGGGAGATGATATAGTAAGAACTTACTTTAATACTCTGTATGTTCCCAGTAACCTGTAGTTTTGACAGTTTATACTCGATTCCAATTGAAAATCTCAACTTTATATTTGCCTCAAAAGTGTGAAAGCAGGGCTTTCAAAATCTGGAAGTCACTTTTTCAGGAAAAGAAACTTCCTTAGAAGTTTTCTGAATACTCCTTAATATGAAAATATTGAACTCTGTGATTCTTTAAAATGAAAAGTTATCTCAAATGACATTATGTGGATGTTACACATGCCTTCAGTTTCTCTTTGACCTTTAACCATCAGCCTATTAAATATTTTGAATTACCTGTAATAATATAAGTAGTGATAGTTATTTTTTTCTAGAATTCTGAACCTTGTCAAAGATGATTTTGTGGTGTAAGTTAGATAAGGTCAGTAGAATAATATAGTGTAAATGAGAAACAAAAGTCTGTAAAAAGAAATACCTATCTTTTCAATTCTGATCTCTCAGTTTTGATATTGTTACGTGTGTCAAAAATATAACATATGTGTTTGTTGCTAGATGTCTAGCAGAATACCCTTCACATGGTAGTGCTCAACAAATACTTGGCCAATTATCTTAGAAATTTATTACAAATGCTGAGTGTTTAAACACAAAAATATTTGAAGTTATGGTGTCCAAATTGCCATTAGTGTGAAAAATATTGTTCTGTGTAAAGGGAAATTTAGATGAACTTGCTAAAAGGAATTGAAGTTTGGCCAAATTTTCTTTTGCACTGTTGTACTACTTATGTCATAATGAACTGTAATCAGCTGTCTTGGAAATTTTATCTTAGTTTTCATTACTTTAAGAGTTGACATGTAATTTTAACTTTTAAAATAAAAAACAGCCATTTTCTCTTAACATAGGAAGTCTGTCTTGAAGAGCATAAAAGCTAGGTGAAGTTGCCTTTCTCTTTTTTGGAGGAAGTTTATAAGTAAAAATAGTGCATTTAAAATGTTTAAGAATTTGTTGAATTATTGTTATTTAGTTGTTACTAGAATAATTCTTCTTTTGCTTTGATAAGAAATGATACTTTAAAAAGAAAACTCCAGAGTTTTTGACTAAAACTTTGAGTTTCTATTTTAAAAAATGTATATCTGTTCTGGTTATAATAGCTTGTGACTTCTTGGCATTATGGTTCTTGGATGGAAAATATTCATTTTGTCTGCTTTATATTAATCTTAAAAATACCAACTTCTTTATTTAAAAGATACATATTGTCACAGTCATTCTTTAGGGTCATTTTCAATTAACATCTTTAAAAATAAAGAAAAATTAGACATGATACTTTTCCTGTGGGAAAAAGAAAAATTCTGTAAGCAGGTTTCTCCCTCCTTAATTAATGCTTCTTATTATTAGTTGAGGGCTCAGCTACCCTTAGAATATTTAGCCTCAGAAACTGATCTAAGTAAGATCTTTAATTTTGTTTTAAAATAATTCAGATCTTTATTATTATTATTATTTTAGTTTTTTTTTTTTTTTTTTCTGTTGATAACTCTCAAATTCTGATTTTCAGCAAGGAGAAGGATCTTGACAAGCAGGGGATTTAAAGAGATCTAATCCATTAGTTTATTGTCCCTACCGATAGCTGCTGGCAAGTGAAATTTACCTGGTGGTGTTAAGTCTCTCCTGGCCTTGTAACTGATTAGGACTGCTTAAAGTTGCTTGTTGGATTAATTGGAGTATACATGTTAAGATTGCTTAATAAGATTTAGTAGTGGTCTTATGATTACATTTCTTTAATGAATTAATTTTGACATTCTGTGCGTCAATTTTTTAGACCTCCTTAGCTACGTGTTTTGCTCAAGAAACTTTTGGGAAACGGTACAAACAAACTATAGGACTGGATTTCTTTTTGAGAAGGATAACATTGCCAGGTAAGAGACTAAAAAGTCTTAACGTAGAAGATTATAAAAAAATCTTACAATAAATGCCATAAGAAAGAAATGTGTAAAGTTTTGGGGCTGCTTCTACATGAAGATGTGTAGAATCAGTAAATTTATCTGTGGGAGGTTGACTTTCATCACAATCTATCATGAAGGCATATTGTCCATGGGTGTGAGAAAAAGTTTATATACTCTCCCACTCCTTCCCTGTTTTTGGCTACTATACATTTTTTGAGGATAAACAATGGTTGCTTATAAAAATCTGAAAAGCTTTTAAAAAATTAAGTGCTATACATTTGTCAACAGATATTGTATTAACAAAATGTGAAAAGATTGGGAAGGATTATTTTTTAAAATATTATTTTGATTTGCCTCTACTTTAGTTTTTTTGTTTAAAGTTGGAACAGAAGTATAATGTAGCTATGGAACTTCTGTGCTCTAATATGTGAATGCTGTTTTATGCAAGGCAGCATGAAATTGCTGGCATTTAATAGACCACTAAAATTTAGGGTCCCTAGGCACTCATAAAAATACAGTTTGAGCATTCAAGATGTTTCACTTCACCATGCAAAGAAACTATTTAGATGCCAGTTGCAGCACATTTTGTGGGAAATACGGGGAAATAATAACAAAGAAAGAGTGGTTTATGTTTTAAGTTAGTTTCTGAACAATTGGGGCTTTAAAATGCTGTCCTTTCAATTTCAATGGTTAAATTATATGTTTAAAGTATTTTATTAAAAGCAGTTTATCTTGATTGACTTTATAAACCATCCGTCCCTCTCCTCTGTGAGGAAGCATATTTGGAGAAAACGGTTGCAAGTGTAATGTCAGATTCATGTACTGAAATGTGAGTGATATAGTGGGAAGGGGTTTAATACATTCCAATTATTATTGAAATATGTTAACCTCTCAGACACCCCATCTGTCAGACAACTCCCCATGAAAGTTTTAGAGTAGCTAATGAAAACTCTTGGTAATGGAGGTATTCTTCTTATCTCCTTAGTAATACACTTTGTTATATTTTGTGATGGTTTGTATTTGGCTACCAGTGAAAAATAGGAGATATCCCATGAGAAAAAAAATAATTTCAATTTTTCCATTACTGGGTTATTGTTCAGCAAGAGGTTTAAGGAGAAACATATGCGTACTTTGTTTCATTTGTATTTTCTTTTAATGTATCCAAAACTGAAAATGTCATTTTAATTTTATTATTCTTCGTCTTACCGATAATCTATGCTGCATTCAGAATTCTTAATAGCAGTCACTAGCCGAATACATACACAAATCACATAATATAGAGGCTGGAAGCTTATTTTTGCGGCAGTTTTTTTTCACAGATGCCAGTTGTACGCAGAGAGTCTCAATATAGTATTTTGCTATTAGTTATTTTGTTTTGATGCTTAATTTGAAAAACCACCACACCAACTTTTTGTCTCATTACTTTTAATATTTCTCATTTTTTAGTTGAAAAGCTTAAATAAAGAAACAAGTATCTACTCAAATATTAAAACAAAGACTGGTTTTTAGACATTTCATACAGGCGATATATGTGATGATTTCTGACCTGTAGCACAGCACTACCAATTTAAAAATTTTGATTACTTTGTAAAAAATATTTCATATTCTTGAAATCTAGATTAATAGTATAATATTTTAGACTTACACAGTACTTAGGTTAAAAAATGACATTAGGGCATGTATACTCTTAATGAATGTGTATTTTAATTTTCCTAATTAAGTTTTTATTTTGATGGTAAAGTTCCAGAAAAAAAGTTCTATTTTTTTTTTAAGGCAGTTGGTTTTATGCTACTTAACAGACTCAAATTTATGGTAGAAATTTCAGTAAGAAAAAAATATTTTAATGTATTTTGTTTTTATATAATTAATAAGTATATTAAGAAATGAGGTGAATAAATTACAAGGTTTATAATTATTCTTTATATACTTTAAATTCATTATAACTGTCAAATGTAGGATCATTAATATATCATTAGCTGAATAAAACATTACAGGTAGCTTTATTGAATTTATAGCATAGTCAGTGAATCTAATATTTGTTAGTAGTCTAGTAAGTCCTCTGACCAGTTAGATTGTTAGGGGTGTAAACCTCCTGTCCATCTATTTACATTCTCTTCATGCAAGTTTTCAAGATCATTACTTTGCAAATACTCATCCATTTTAGTATATTTCATGATCCGGTATGCTGTATAGTCTGGATGCAACCACTGTGCAGATTTTACTGCTTAAAATAGTGTATCTGTTAGTCAGAGATTCTGCTGATAGAGCTTCTTAAGAGTCTTAGTCAAAATACTTTCAGGAAGCTTGTGGGTACAGTCCAGTAAACAGCGTTCTACTGTGAAAAAGATTTCTAAGTCTTTAGTACAAGAAGTGGGCAGACTTGTGTTTTTAGTTCCATCTTGACTATGCAGCACTTTAAGTAAGGTTAACCAAGGCACCAAGTGTACTTTTACAAGGTCACTGTTGAATCCTCTTGGTGGCTTTAATTCATACCAAAAGCAACTTACCTGTGTTTTGTCACCTCATTTATTTTATTTTTTCTTCTAGTTACATGTCATTTCTTACAGAGGAGCAGGAATTTTGTAGCATTCTGGGTTTGGGATTAGATTTCTGACAATTTCCTTAATGTTCTGTATCGGTTAGAAATTTGTATTAGATAGATTCTTGATTTAAACAAAATTATAATATTATTTGAATATTCTTATATAGCTTTATAGGTGTGTCATCTTGAAAATATACTAGAATTCATATGTTTATGACTGCAAAAACAAAAATGAATATTGATTTGAATCATATCCTCATTCAATTTTGCTCCTCAAATAAGGAATCTACATTTTATTTTTAGTTTTATGTGTTAATAATCCTAAACTTGAAATGTGGAGTTAAAAATATATTTCTAGATATAGAAGTAATATGAAGTTAATATCATTTGTTGAAACTGTAAAGATAGTAATTTTTTGTTAGCATTCTATATTAGTGGACTATCAGTAATTCATAGCTATTTTTATTTCTGAGTCACTATAATTTATATGTTTAAAAAAACAGGCAAACACTGACAACAGAGTTTATTTGGAAAGGCATGCATTTAAAAAGTATCCTCAGCACATGAATATGGGAGACAATTGGATAGATAGATGATTTAGGGTCTTGATATGATTGTAGTCAGAATTTGAAAACATGTAATGAAGATCATGTTCCTGAAATTGTAGTCAAAGTGTTCACAACACCTCATTCAGATAGGATCTGAATATCAGAACTTAAAGAAGAAAGCTTTATATTTTTTGTTGTGAGGTTAAGCAATAAGGACTATTGACTCTGAAAAAATGGGATTAAACACCTTTTAGTACTTATTTAGTATTGCCTAAAATCTTCCTCTGTAAAAGTTAGTATTGTTAAGCACTGTCTTTTGAAGTAATCAAATAACTCTAAAGAGTTGTGCAAGTAAAATGAATAGCCTACTGCCTGCTTAGGGGTTTCTGAAACTATTATATATACTTCTTAGTGATGGCTAGCCCTTTCTCATCTGCTTAATTTGAGACAGCATTATAGAAGAATTATTTTAGCCTTGAATCTCAAAAAATTTAGATTTTTAAGAAATTCGATTTGTATAAGTTTTTGGACACATCTTAGTCTGTGACGTTTTGGTTTTTGTATTCATAGGGCTTTAAGAACATTTTGGTCATTAGTGTAAGTGTAGAAAGTATGTGTCTGTGGGAATAATGTTGGTGATAAAACATTAGCGCTCATTAATGCTAATGAAAGTTCCTCGTGGAAATCCTCTGCACGGTGGCAGATGGAACAACCTATGTTTAAATAATGGAAAGATTGTAATACAAACTCACCAAAATTTAGAAAACTGTGCTGGTTAATCAAATGTCTTTTTCTTCTCAGTTGCATAGTTAAATGGTGTGACTAACTGTCTCTGATTTTAGTGTTTTATGTTGGCGTATAAATTTTTATCTTTATAATCTTTTTTTGAAATGAGATCATTTTTCAGTTTCTAACCTTTTATTTTCTTTTCTTTTGATTTGCAAATCATTCAGAAAGTGCTAATTGAGACTCTGGAGAAAACTCCATAATCTTATGAGGGATAGAGTTTAAAATGTTCAACTAAATAGCATAGTTTGGCTTTTGTAAGCATACTCATCAGTTGCATTGAGAAGAGAGAACAGCTTATCTCATAAATTTTTGTATCAACCAAATATTTTACAAAATGCATGAAAGGATTTTAAAGATTCCCTTTTAGAATGCTTTTATAATGCTCATAGGGGAAGATGATTAGTTACACTATTTTGTGAAGGCTTGGAAGTATACATAGTTTGTTTAAATGGAAATGCTTTGAACAAGTTTGAATATATTGTAATATTTAGTGATATACATGGTATGTATCCTACATTTGTTCTGAATAGGGCTATCAAATGTGTTTCTATTTTATGGGTTAAATTTGAAAACGTTATTTTTTGACCATGTTTGCCATATCCTAGAGTAGCTGACAATCACATTATAAAAAGATTAATTAATTTGAACTGAAATTATGGGTGCATTTTTATAGTTTGCTATTATTCCATGAGTTTTAGAACCCATAGAGTTTAGAACCTACAGCAAAATTCATATATATGATTGGATGGTTGAGTATTTAAAGCTTCAGTTTTTATTTTTAAAGTACATTTCTTGCTCCATGGACATGTGTTTCATTCTATTCTCTAAGAAAAACGTTTTTCTGAGGCTTAAGTTTATAAATTAAAGCTTACTTTGTTTTGTTTTGAAAGTGATTGTAAATATGATTCCATGGAAATGGAGTAAAAGGATAAAACTAGATTCTCCACTATGATTTTTGACATTGTTTTCACAATTCCAAATATCATGTGAGCCTGTACATAAAGGCAAATTGGGCTCAGTTTCTTATTGTGACTTAGTATTCTGTGATACTGTGTCAGTTGTTGTATTGTTACTTAATTTTTTTGATATTTTAATATTCATTTTTATATTCTAGGAAACTTGAATGTTACTCTTCAAATTTGGGATATAGGAGGGCAGACAATAGGAGGCAAAATGTTGGATAAATATATCTATGGAGCACAGGTATGATATGAATTCAGATTATTCCAGTATTGAAAGTGTAGCATTTACAAGCACACATGCAAATCTACACCCAAATGCACATACACACACACATACTTTCTTTCTAACTTTTTATCTGATATGTAGAGAGAATAATTTTATGTTTGTGCTAGTTCTTTGGTTTCATTCTCTCCAAATTATGTTTGGAATGATTTGGGTGAGGGAATAGGAAAACTCTTTAACAGCTTTCGTATGGTATTTATATTACTAGGTGTTATTGTTAGCAGTTTGATAAATGCAGTGATAAATGATATTTTGATATTTATTAGCTGGTTTGGTTATAGTGACTACTTTCAAATAAACTGAATGAAAAATACAGGGATGAAAATTTAACTTTATTTTAAGTTACAAGGACTAAAAGCATATCTATATGTCTATATTTTTGTGTAATGAATATTGATAGCTTTTCAGATTTAATAGACATGTCAATATTTTCTATCAGATAACTAAATATGACAGTGTATATGTGAAACACATACAATAATTTATGATAATGCTGTATTTTCAGAAGAAAATCCATGTAGAGCAAGAAAAATGAAAGTGAAAAATGAAAAATGACCTGAATAATTACATAAATTTGGCCACATGAGCTTATATTCTCCATGAGCTTATATTGATGTAATTTATAAGATTTTAAATAAAGTTATTATACAAATAGAAAATATACAGGGTGGTAATATACTTTAAAAAGTTAATCATTTCTCTCTGAGCATGTTCACTGAAGAATTGTCTTTTTAATATTTGGCAGATTGCTTTTGATTAAATGACACACTTTAGAAATGCAGTAATACTATTGAAAGTAATCATCCGATGAAGTAGAGAATATGGTATATAGCCAAATATTAAGTACGTTGTGCTTACTGAGCTCTGTATGTAATACTTGATGTGCTATTTCTTTATTTTTGCTTTTTTAAATTAGTGTGTATCTTCTACATCATCTGGAGACATAGGGGTAGTAGTAAAAATTTTTAGTTCTTTATTAGAGTTTGGTATTTTAAGTGGGACAAATATAACTTGGTTATGTGGAACCATGTTGCTCATAATAAATGATTCTATAGGGTGGAAATATAGTAGGTTAAGCACTGCTGTACAAAGTTTGGTTCATGTCAACTACCATTGCCTTGATTGTGGATGAAAAATAGATTCTGATTTATTTTATAAAATATTCAGAGAAGGACAGTATGGTTATAGAGGCTAATATGGTTCTGAATCACATATAAAGGCCCTAGAGTTTTGATTTTTTGCATTGCTGATATAGAGATTTGGTTCTTAAAGCTCTTATCTTTTATACATGGTTCTTTGTCTCCTGCAAAATTTTTCTGTTCACATTTATAGCATTTTCATCTGTGGTTAAGTGACTTGATATTTTATGCATGTTCATTTTTCTCTTAAAAAGTACATCTCAGAATTTTGTGTATGGCTTTTTTGTTTTATTTATTTATTTTTCTGTTTTAAACTGATTAAAGTGGTTACTAAGCTAGATAAAACTTGCTGGACAGAGATTTGTGGGAAGCCACAGTTCTTGTTTCATTCATGTGGTTGATAACATGGGAAAATAACACTCTTATCTTTGTTCCATAAAATCTGTCTATAAGGCCACATATAGGATTTTTAAGAAAATGAAGATTCGATCTAACTTCTAATGAAATTTGACTCTTGGTGTCAAATGGAATAGTCTTATGATTTATAGGTGCAACCAGAGTTAGTGGAGAACAGGAGGACTTTATGCATTTCAGGGTAAATAATAATATATAATTCAATTAATACATTTTTTTTCCTTAAAAATTAGGGGAATATTATGCCCATGTGTTGAATTCTATTAATTCTTTCTTCAAATCATTAAAAAATTTATTATCTAATTTATTTAAATTATTTAAAATTTATTACTATTATATAAAAATTAATATTGATGTAAAATTTGTGTGTTATAAAGTTAACCATTCTAAAGTGTATAATCAGCTTTACGCAGTGGCTCATGCCTGTAATCCCAGCTAATTGAGAGGCACAGGTGGGAGGATCACTTGAGCCCAGGATTTTGAGGTTGCAGTAAGCTGTGATCACACTACTGCACTTCAGTCTGGGTGACAAGTGACACTCCATCTTTAAAAAACAAAATAAATAAAAAATAAATTATATAATCAGTATCATTTAGTGTACTCACAGTATTTTGTGACCATTTCCTTAAGTCAATTTTTGACAGTATATATTTTATGTTATTACAAAGCTGCCTACAATCAGCCGACATTAATGAGAACATTGGTAGACATTTCAAGAATTTCCATCTTTTTTGAAAGTCCATAAGTTTAGTAAAATGTCTTCATTATTTTTTAAGGTACTTTATTTCTTGGGAGAAAGTGAATGTTATATTTCTTAGAACTTGTTGTATAAGGTTTCTATCTTGAAGGTACATACTGACTTTTTTCTCTTTTGGTAGTGCGTTTTATTTATACTTTACGATTGCTGTGACTCTTATACTGATGTACTGTGTTTTTATTAAACAACAATGTACAGTATTTCTGAGAAATTCATGAATCTTTCTATGAAATTGCCTGACAAAACTGGGAATTCTGAGATGATGAAATGAATTGTTAGAAATAGGTGATAGGGCATGGGGGCAGGCACCTGTAGTCCTTGCTACTTGAGAGACTGATATGGGAGGATCACGTGAGCCCAGGAGTTTGGGGACTGGAGTGAGCTATGATCATGCCATTCTACTCCATCCTGGGTGAAAGAGCGAGACTCAGTTTATAAAGAAAAAAAAAAAGGATGATAATATAATAACTTTTTTCTGCTTTCCAGAGATTCCAAATAAATGCTGTGTTAAGTACATAAAGTCCTTGACCAGTGGTCTATTTTGTTAAACTATTTTTAAATTCTATATCCAGGCTAGAGAGGCTGTAACTCATTATTTACTACTATAAATTGGAGAAAATGTTACTTTTCAAAACCAGTGATTTCAAAAACATTCTGATAGCATTTTAATAAACTCAATAATTTTATCTAATAATATAATTATTCTTCAAAGTAGATCTATATTGCTTCTGGAGTTATAGATGCTTTATATTACCTATCTCATGAGTACTTTAGATTTTGGTATACTACAGGACAGAAATCTTCCACAGAAATGTTGAGACAAGCTTTTTCAGGATATCGGTTTGATGTGTTATTTAGGGTTTATTTTAGGTTCTCTGACTTCTGTATTGTATATAGAAAGAATTATACATGTCTGGGTCATTAAACTAATCAATCTGTTTCTTTAAAGCATTTCTTAACATCTGCATAGAAGCTTATTTGTAGGCTGGGAGATAACTTGGACCCAAATAAAACCGATTATTTTACCCTCTTCACTCCCCTTACCCCCAGCAACATTTAAACGTCAGCAGTAGCCTGTTGAAAGTGTTGGTGAAAACTAAATTGAATTGACACCCCAAAAAGAATTAGTGAGGTATTTTGACAAGAACTAGTTCTAAGAATTGAAATATGTCCCAGTTAAATTCCCAGATTTTAAATTAACTTAAAAATTTCTAGGAGTCTTTAGAAAGATGTTATAGGCGATTTTTCATAGTGGTTAAGAGCAAACACACAGTACATAGTGTTTAGTGCCCTGTAACCTGTGGCTAACAGAGGCTAATAACAAACCTCAGAGAAGGACTGGATGTTTCATTTTTGTAGCTCTTTCTGTCCTGGAATCTAAGTGGTTTGCAAACACTGACCCACTGAGCATAAACTCAATGAAGTGTAGTCACTTGTGAGGTAGAACATAACCACTATTATGTACCAGTGGCCCCACACAGATGAGCCTGCTTTTTAAGTACCAACAAAAGGATTTGGTGCCTACATGACAGCTAGGGAGAGGGTGCAGCTTAAAACTGGACTCTGCAAGACCTTCTGCTCTCTTTTGCTGTAAGTTTTTTAGTTGGATATTTGCCAACTTATAACATGTTTGTGCACTTTCTTTGCGTGTTTCTTACAGGTTATACTTATAAAGCAAGATATATGTTGTTAATGGCTATTATATAATCTGTATGATTTAATTCATTTCTATAAATAACTAAAAAACTAAAGCAGATTATTTGTCTTGCATATAAGGGAGAAAACAACCTGCATTTTGGGACTGGGAGAACCTTTCATTTTTTGAGAATGTTAAACAGTAACAGTGTGTGTACTGTGTTTAGCACGTGTTACACTGAAGAACTATATCTATGCAATGCTTTACAAGACTGTTACTTGGTAGGCATCAGTGTTTGTTCTTTCAAAACTTCTATCAAGGCCAGGTCAGTGGGTCATAATCCCAGTGCTTTAGAGGGCCAAGGCAGGATAATTGCTTGAAGTCAGGAGCATGAGACCAGCCTAAGAACATAGTGAGACCCTTTCTCTACAAAAAATTAAAAAAATTAGCTGGGCACTGTGGTATACGCCTGTAGTCCTAGCTACTAGAGAGGCTGAGATGGGAGGATTATGTGAGCCTAGGAGTTCGAGGCTGCAATGAGCCATGACTGCATTCCAACCTGGGGAACAGAGCGAGACCCCATCTCTTAAAAAAAAAAAATGCTGCCAATTATTACCTTGAAAATGGTATCCATTTGATTTACTCTCTCATCATGCTTATTAGATATGGTGGTGAGTGAAATAGATGAAAACAAACTACTGTATAAACTAACATTATATAATATTTACTAAAAATCTTGATGTTTACAAAATACTATGGATGGTAGTATTTTCTTGGAATCGAAGTTGGAAGAAGGCAGTTAAGGCATAAAATGAAGGAAACTGTTGTTAAAGAGGGATTTATTAAACTTGAAATCTGATTTCCAAAGGTCATGTAGAAGATTTGGGAAGAAGAGCAGCAGCTGAAAGGTAAATTGGGAAGTGGAAGGAAAGGATGGTATGGGGTTGAAGACATAGGAGAGAGATAAATGTCAGATATGTGGTTGATAACAAAAGTTATCTGGGACATGAGA